CAAAATATTTAATGACTACACTCAGCAATCATCTAAATTTCAACAAAAACTATATCCATTTATACTTGAAATTCGAGATGGTAAAGCATCAATTAAAGAACTTGAGGATTATTTTCAATCTCTCGGTGACTATTCACAAAGTATTGAACGTGTTATTCAAGAATATCAACCTATTTTATCGAAAGGAAAATTTCTAGAAACATTACGTCAAGCACTCATTCAATACGTTGATGTATTAGATTTAACTAAGGAATTCGGAAAAGATATGACAAACGAGAATCAAAATTTATTCGAACAAGCAATTTCAACAAAATACAAAAGATCTCCGTACGATGAAATATATGTGTTTATTTCAAGGGATAAATTAAAATATGATGATCGTGGTAATGAGAATTATCACTGGAGAGAAGAATTTGATATATTTAAACGGAACAACAATAATACGTTAACGGTATGTTATATTTATGCTGATTTTAGCAACTATACAGTTGTACAACCAGATGAACCTTGCATACAAGCTTATGATAGAGGTTTCATCCCACGATGTTGTTGGAGAAAAACGGTATATGTGTCACGACAATCAGAGTACATAGCAAGTAATGTTGGTTTTGAAAATACAAAAGGTTCTGGTATAGGAGGATCCGATTCAACATTAGATCATAATACAATCCACTCACCAGTTTCATCACTGGAAACGAAAGGTAAAAGTTTGTGGCTAATTTCTCCTTTTTTTATTACTTTTCTTAACACGAGTAATCAGAAAAGTAATGAAAGTAATGGGTAATAGGTTTTTGTTACTTGATACAATTAGGTAAAGTACAATCTCTAATTATTATGGTTTTTAGCATTAAATCGATCTGTTATTACACAGCAACCTGCTCCTACTTTTAAAGGCAATGAACCGCATTTACAAGAAGAACAACAACGAATCAAACAGCCTGCATCAAACTATCAATCCACAAGTCAACAAAACAACCTCTCATTGACAGAACATAAACAAAAACATACTCGAAATCCAGATGTCTTGAACAAATCAGCTCAATTTCAACAATTAGAAAAAACATTTGTCGATAACCGACAAGAAGTCGAAAAACAGTCTTTATTGTCATTAGATGAAAGAAAGCAGAGAACAACTAAACCAAATCAAAAATCATCTGTGCCAAATGTAGCAGATAGAACAAAGTCAAAGGAAAATTTGTCTTTGTCGTATCGAACTAAAGGTATATTCAAAGTCTGATCTCTATATATGCACTATTGGATAACATGGGAATACTCCATTCTTATTCGTTTACTTTTTATACAGGCGAGCGTTCAGCGAGTGAAATAAGTTACAAACCACAAGTGCAAGACAAAAAAGTTAGAGAATTAGATAGTAAAGAACGGAAGGAAGAAAGACTAGGTTCAAAAGACAATTTAAGTTCATCGTGTCCAAGTAAAAGTAAATATTTATTGATCTATTTTTGTAGTCAGTTAAAAGAATTGTCTCTTTTATGTCATCTATTAGTTGATGGTAGTCAGTTGCTGTACGATAAGCTGGAAAAACAAGGGGAAGGTAAATTTCGTGGTTAAATTTTCAGTGTCATCGGACGATACTTTGAGGAAATATGCATATTGGACTTTTGAGGCATTCGCCGGTTCATGGTACTTTCTAATCAAAGAGCCTCATCACTGTAACTCGCTCAAAGTGGAAAGGGAGATAATGCATTTTGTAGCCCTTGATGTGCTCTATAAAACAATGCACTTATATTGGCAAAAAAAGCGTCTGATTGAGCTTCCAGAGCCAAAGCGCAGGGTGGGCTCTATGATCCAGGCTCCAGATCATGGATATGTGCAGTGAAGATATCCAAAAGCCCTCTAAAATGCTTCTGACATAGCCTATTCGACGCAGTCCTTTGCACTGAACACGAATATGGTCTTAGATTTCGGCTGTGAGTGGCACTTAGTAAGTTCGACGTGCCTGACCGTGCCCTACAGAACTTCGTATTTGGTTTCTTGATTGGAGTATGGTCGTGAAATCCGACAGGGTCCTTAGATTTTTGGATTTACACGATGAATTTTTTGCTAGAAATTCAAAGTTCAAGATAAAATACAGAAATGTTTTTTACTATTGCCAAATAAAAAAACATATAGGGCAGGTAAAGTAGAGTACATCTTGATATTCGGACGTAATTTGGATGGGTCTTGGCTGGGTTATGAATTTTTTAATTTTACTTAAATATAGACAAAAATGTGTTATTTCACCTATTATAGATTTTTACTAGGTTTTTGCAAGCGTTTCGAAAAACAAATATTGCCACAAGATTCAGCGTGATCGACTATCTATGTTTCCATGTGTTTTGAGTTTTCCAAACCTCAAGATTAGGAGATTGATATGTCCTCGGAAATCCGGTTTTCTAGGCCGAACCAAGCAAAAGTAAGAAGTCGCTTAGATCTACACATTTAGAAGACATGTTGAATATATCTGTGAAGAAAAGTTGGTGTTGAGGTTCCAAGGATATGAAGAGGTTTTCCAAACACCCGCTGAAAACTCTGTCTACAAAATGTTTTCGTCTCCAGTTTTTGCTTGTGAAAAGACGGGGAAAACAGCCTTCTTTCCAATTAATGAAAAATGCAAGTCTCGATCTATCATCGTATTCGAGTTATTAAAGAAACGGCAAACTGCGTTGTATTTTGGAATGGATAGTAGTGGAAGAATGACTTCCTTATTCAGTCATTA